ATGAAAGAAAACAGGAGGCCCGCATCGTGCTTTGGAACGGCAGGCTAAAGAAGATTCCAAATAACATGAATCTTCCGCACATTAGGAGTGGTGGTTGTTTGAACACGCTGAGCAAGAGTGAGTGCGATGAGGTGCCTGCAGAATCATGCTGCTACTTTCCCAGTTTTTGGACTCTGTCTTGCCCGGCGTGTCACGGATTGCTCGCGCCAAACCACGGCTGTACGTCCTATGAGGCATGGCATGGCATCCAGCCATCACCAGCAAATGCCGCTTAGCTGATTAACATGAAAGGGCCTTGGAAAACTGAGCACAGGGCTAGCATCGATGTGAGGCGTGCTTTTTCCACCTGCACACGAACTGCGTGGTGCAATATGGCGAAAGCTGTCTGTGTGGCAAGCCCACTGCCCTCAGCCGCGGTTCAGGCCAAGGTGTGGAGCTAACAAAATGGGGCCCGTCAACCCCAGTTTGCTACAAATGGGTTTCAACTGCGTCCCCGGCCTCCACAAAAATCTTGCCCTCCGTCACCTCGTTGAGCGTGTTGATGAGATCTAGCCTCTTCTCCTGGGTTTGTGAATCATCGCGCCGTTTTTCGGACGATGAGAACCGCCCGTTGAGGTATCACTGCAGAAACCGAAGCAAAGGATCATGCAACCTAGCCTAGACGTTTTAGCCGGTCAATCACGACAGAGACAGGCAGTTCTCGGTTCTCCTTGTCGAGGCCATCCAACCAGCTCATGGCCAAGTGGACCTCAGCGAACGCTTTATTTTTTCGTGCTTTGGTAATAGGCGTCAAATGACCAACATCAAAACAGGCGGCCATGCAAGCCACTCAAATGACACTCTGCTTCCCGAGCTAACCATGCACAGCTGGCTATGGCATTTCACCAGGTACAAATTTCAGTTCCAAGTGGCATGTAAACACAACAACAGTTGTCTCGCAAAACATCAGTGTACAATGGTGGCTTTGTCAATGAGCTCTTTCAGCCAGCAGTTTTCCTCGCACATCCTGTCTTGTCAGCTTGGCCAATGTCCTGCTGTTTGGCAGATTCGCGTGACTCGGCATTGGTGCCCAGGCCATGTCCGTGGTGGATCGCTTCAGCTGGCCACGCTTCCTGAGCGGTCGAGCTGTCCAATCACCCCGCTCTTTCCTCAACTGGTGCTGCAACAGGTAAGGTGAGTCGCAGGAAAATGACGTTTACTTTGGTCCGACGGAGTGCCAGCGCAGTTGAGAATCCAATGGCCAGTACCTCACATTTGAGAAGTGGCCAATATACGCCCAAGAAGGAACAGCTTGGGCCAACAAGCCTGTGTTGTTGTCAATTTAAGCGAGCATGTCTTCCCAAGTCAGAGTATGCAATGCAAACACTCTCCAAGGGTCAAGACCCTGACTGAAGCCAACCTGTTGACGGAGCTGGCAATACACTTGTTCACAAGCTGCCTCCGTGTATTTCTTGGGGCCCGTGCTCCGTCGTCCATTCTCAGGTCCGGCCAACCCGAATCATTCCCTTCGGCAGACACTCAACATCAATGCAAGTGACTTGGGCAAGGTGATGATGTTCTCCTTGAGCTTGGTCCACTCCTGGAGAAATCGATACCAACTGCCTAAAAGGCAATTGGCCAACCATTGAGCAAGTTTCTTTTTAAAGAAAGCATGTTGCTTGGATTTACATGTTCCGCTTCTCACTTAGAGCCAGCCTGAAGACACAAGTGGGATCCAATGCGGAAGGTTACTGTTAAGGCCCTGGGGCCATGGACTCGCGGACTCGCTCCCGCGCGGTGGGACCTTCCAGTTGTTCCCAGGTCAGGAGGCAAAACACCACGACCAGCCTTGGCATTGAAGTACAGCTGGCAAATCTTGCAAACCAGCTTAGAGGTAGAGAGACCGTCTGAGGCCTGCCAAGCAGTCAGGCATCAACTTGTAAATTCTTGACGTTGCCGAACTTCAACCAGTCACCAGATCACAGCAGCGTTGTAGACTGCCCCAGTGCACGAATCAGCGCTGTTAGTGCACCAAGCCAAACAAGCAACTAAACTGGCCGGTCCTCAACAAATGCACCAGATACCACAATTAGGCAAAGGCGCAGGAACCAATAGCCAAGGTGTCCGCCATCCACGAGCAACACCCGTGCGGATCCAGAGTTGCCGAGCCTGGCGTGTCTTCTTCTCCAAGCCCAGCCTGAGGAACGCCGCAGGAGCCCGGCTGTTTGACAAGCAGCTTCCATGTTCATGAGCCAAAGGAAGCCCAAAGACCCTTCTTTCAGGAGGCCTCCGTCCCCTTTCAGGTTTTGACGGAACTGCTCTTTCAAGTTTCAAGCAAGGCCCCCTTGTGGGGGGAAGGCAGGGGAGGTGCCGCGGCACACATTGTACCGCAAGGCAATATCTATTCTATGTGAAAACTTTTGGGCGCCTTCGATTTTCTCCTAGGGCGCCGAGAAAAGGGAGCCTCATATTTGAAGACTTTCTGTGTGTGTGTGTGTGTGCGTGTTTTCCCCCTTTGCTTTCCCTTCCAACCAACCCACGTGGCTGTGGGTCAAAAATAGGTACCCAAAAAATGGAAGGCTGGCAAATGGACATGGACTAAAACCTGTGGTCCCCTGGTGGTTTAGTTTTGACCCATATCCATGTAGCTCCGTCGGTGTGGGGCTTCCCGGCAGCTGCTCCACGGCCTCCTCCAGGCGCCCCGCCTCGCATGAGCGTGCGTGAGCGCTTCACCCGCTTGGGCCATGGCCAATGGGGGGATGGGGTGGGTTGGCCCCAGGCCCAGGAGCCTCACAAAAACGGAGGCCCCAAAAGCCGCACATCTTGGGTGGAGATTTCGGGCATTTTGGGAGTTGTGGCCGTTCCCCGCACAAAATTGGTCAATGTTGATGGAAGCGCTACACTGTCCGCCTGCGCCATGGTGTCCACACGGCTCAGCAGCTCTTCCGCCTAACAGAAGCCAGCTGCATCAGTGCCTGAAGTAGCCCCCTGTTCAATACAAACCAAATCAAATATTTAAACACCCCAATCTTTGTCACACAGCCAACTCAAACAAAAACAGCATAGACCCCCAGACGGCGCCGCGCACAAGCATCCCATCGGCCTCCTTGGTGTAGTCCTCAGTGGCCTTGGGATCCTGCAAGACAAGAGGGAACTTGTCTCTGGCTTAATGTTGACCCCGGATTAATGAACCCGTCCCATTGTTAGGAGGGTGTTCCCTCAAAAAGTGATGAATCCCCACTAAAAGGGGGCACGCCCCTATTAATCAACCAGTTTATTAATCCGGGGTTAACATTACATGGTAATAGCTGCTGGCATCGAAAGGCCCTTTCCTTTCCTTGCTGCTTGCATGGTTGACTTGTCAAGGGAGCATGGCAAGGCTCTGGCTCTCGCCTATCCAGCCGTGTGCGAACTTTGCGTGCAAGGCGAAATCAAGTTTGGGCATGTTTCACACATCAACCACAGCGCCCGCAGGTGTTCGTCCTTTCCATTTGCCAGGGACCCCGTTTTGGGTACCTCTTCTCGACCCACAGCTTGTGTTGATCTCGGATTCACCGGGGTCGTCCTTCGCCAAGCTCCCCAGCAGGGGATTCAATGAGTCCGCCTGGAGCCCGGCGGGTCGACCCAATCCGCTAAACCGATCGACCGCTCCATCCGCCCGTGATCTGACACTCATGAGACAAGAACCATGCGGCTTCGTGCGGCAAAACGCTGGTGTCGGACTTGGCGAAAGTCTTCTGCAAAGCTTCTAAATGTAGTTTAGTCCCCAAGTTGCATGGGTCAAACTCAAACTCGTCAGAGAACACAGGCAGCCCTGGTGTTTTGCTTTGCGTGCCAGTTGGAGCTAGGTGTTTGACTCCATGCAAAACGTTCCCACACAACGTTCCCCAAACCCCCTGATTTTTCCGTGCCGACGCGTCAACCGAGGCCCCACACCATGGCCACCCGCCTCAGGTGTTAATGGGCATGTGTCAAAATAGGGGACCCTGAAGCATGTGTGGTTTCCTTGTGGTTTCCCTTTAATCCCGAAAAATGGTACTAACTCCAAAACCGACACCCAAATGGCGAACGTCAAATCCCAAAACCAACTGCAGACTGGCTAGCCGTGGCTGAATCATGATCCTCCACCCTCAGTTCTATTCTAGGATATGTTGCGCGAGCTAAAACCTATTCGGATGTTCAAGCCGGAAAACTCAAGGCGTGCTTCCACTTGAGAGTGACTCTCTCTCTCTCCCTCTATCTCTCTCTGTTGCTCTCTCGCTCTCGCTCTCTGTGTGCCATGGGGCACGTTCATTGGTTGGGATTGGTTGGGAGGTGGGCAAAGGAACACCGGAACCACACAGGGAGCTCAAGCTGCAAGGATCAGAGCTCAAGAAGAGATGGCCTTTCTTTCTCACTTCTCACACTCCCTCCATCTGACATTCCACCGATTGCCATCATGTTGCTTCATCGCTGAGCATGCCAACATACTTTCTGGATCCAAGCAAGATTGTTCAAAGCCTCAATCCTTTCGGCCCCTCACATCGCACCTCTGCCTGTGCTCTCTCGATCTATGGAGCCGTGCCCAGCGACTCAGCCGAGCCGGAACTACGTCTAGTGCCTTTGCGGCTGCCACATGGCTGCGGAACGGAAGGATCAATAGCCGTTGGCCCCAACGTCGGCGCGTGGCAATGCTCACGCCAAGGCAAATGAAGCGCTGGTAGCTTGGCATCAGCTACACGAAACGCAGATCCCCAGTGCTGCCCGTTCTCACGCGCTTGCTGACTCGACCACAATCCAAACATTGAATAACACTTACTCAAACTCACTGACGTTGGGGCGCAGTGCAATCGAAGTACAAAACCGCTTGGTTACGAGCCCTGAAATTGATCTAGGCTGCAATCGAACTACAGCAGAAGTGGATCAGAACAAAAGACAAACCTAAAGCAGCAATCCCCGGGCAAGCCTGTCAAGGAAACACTAATCACATCTAGAGCTTGACCCGATCACTGCCCCCTGGCCAGCCAGCAGCTGATTTTTCTTCAGCCCTGCAGACTGATTCCAAGGCTGCCCTCGTCAAAGGGGCTGTCCTTAGAGTCAAAAAAAATGAGCCATTGCTCTTTTGAGAACAAACCACGCATCAGCAAACTGCAAACTGCAAACTGCAAGCTGCAAGCAAGACCTGCCACGCAACTCGATGTAGCACGGTGCACATCGAGCTTGGCCCTTGCGGCCAAGGTTCCTCCCACAGATCGGCGTCATCCTCGTCAACCATGTCCTGCACAAAAGTGGCACATCGAGAGCCATGAGCGGCACGCGACCGTCCCCAGTCAACCGGTTGGGCTTCTAGCTTCAGTAGAAAGACGAAGCTGTCGTGGGACAAGTTTGTGCTCAAATCTCGACAGTCTGGACTTGGAAGCCCTGGTCTCTGAAATGGTGTTCTAGTGAACACCATTGGCAATGTGTTGGCAATTGTTTGTAATGCAAAACACGCTCTACAATGTGGCTGCTCCGGCGATGTGTTCAAACTTGCTACTAGGTAGCCAAGAACCATCTGGCGGCCTCGCATGCTCACAAACAGATGGCCGACCAAAGGGGCTCCAACTTCCTGACACTTGCAGCCCATGGAATAGGGTGCCAGTCCTCCTGCCATGGCTCGAACCTGTCAAGTGAAAGGAACTGAAGAATGGAGCAAAACGGCCCAAGTGGCTTGGTGCAATTACACTCCAAAATCGTCCTTGGGTTTGTCTTGTTTTACGGGACCTGGCATGGCCTGTGGGTCTTGCTTCATCACAGTTCCGCTGGCCGGGTGTCTTTTTCTTGAGGGATACCCCTTTTTTAGCAGCTTACAGGGAAACCAAAAGGGACAAGCACCAATTTAGGGGATCCCCAAGAATGAACGGAGCCCTGTGAGCAAAGTCCAGGCTGTTGATGGCACCTTGCGGAAGCGTCGTCGTCGTCCCAAATGTCTTCGTCCATGGGGCCCATGTCAGCCTGCCCAAACATCCGCAGACTCTGTCCCTGCACCATTAAAGCCCCAGAACATTGCGGAAGGCACGTGTGGGAGGGGGGATGCCTTCCACAGCACTTCGCGGCCGAGGCCGTCGGTGAGAATTGATGGTGGGGCCAAAGCAGCAAAATCAGCGGCTTGACACACACGGCGGCCTCCTCAAAGAGCTCGCGCAGCTCTTTCTCTGTAAGCCTGTCACATCGCGGCTCTGGCTGAACCAAGGTAATTTGAGTCTGCTCTGATGGGTGAACCAAGGTGAGTTTCGTCTTTCATGTCTTTCCTTTGCCTTCACCTCCGGCCCTGGAAATGTCTCACCCACTTTGGCTCCCGGCTCCCTGTTGTCCTCTGCGATCTGCTCCGCCTCCTCTTTGGCCACCTTCTCTGGCGTCCTCAGAGCCCCAAAGCCATCCAAAAGATGGGGCACTGGATTGCCAGTGGCACCAATTGACTTCTTCAGGCAGGGAAACATAATGTGGGAATGGTGAGAATGATGAGATGGCGCAAAGGCTTGGTCGAGGCTTGCATGCTCCCCCTGCCGCGCGGTCTCGCGGTCGCGAGGCTGAGCGCCCGACTTCCAAATCGGCTTTGGCGCCGCCGCCCTCTGCGAGCGCCAGTCTTCTGCTGCCGGATCAAAGCCTCAGGGTGCGTTCCGAATGCGGCACGCCGAAGAGACCGCGGCCCAAGAGATGCCGCAGGACCGGCAAAGTTCGACGAACCCTTCAACAGGCGGAAGGGCTTTCCCTGGGTGCGCTCTTCGATGTCATATTGTTCTTCCTATATTTGCCCTATAGTCTCAGCCGATCAGCAAGGCGAATGTTAACCTACACGAAAACAAACAAAGTCTGGCAAAGTGAAACAAGTGCTGTAGTTTGGGGTCGATTCGGGCTAGACTCTGAGAGAGGGTTTCTGGTTGATTGGTTTTGGCTACGTTCCAGGTTGATATTGACATCTAGATTGACATGGAAATCGGACCGCTAGGTGATCTGAGGGTTGATTTTGCGTGGGTTCACGGTCTGGGCTTCTCAAGTTTCAATTGGTCCAGGGTGAGCTGCTTAAAGGTGATGTGTTGCTCGGTGCCAGTTTTGAGTTGGTTTAAGTTGTGTTAGATCGAGTTTCAGCAGGGTGAGGAGTTCGGGCCAAGGTGGATTTGGGATGGGCCTGAGATTGGTGGGATTAGGGTAGTTCGAGAGTATGTTTCCGTGCTTAGCAAACATGCCTTGCTGCGTCACTATGAGTGCACGTGACAGTCACTCGGCAATGACTTGTGACCAATACATCCCAGCAAGTTGCTCAAAGGGTAGAAGGCCCACACACACACACACACACACACACACACACACACCGGGCAGACCGACCCAGGGTTGGTATCTGGGCTTCCCAGCGCTCCAAGCACCTCATCTGCTCGGAGAAGTCGCCCGCGTTCGTGAGGCGCAAGCCTGAAAGGCTTGCTTGTCAACTTCTCTGCTTAGTCACCATCCAAAGAGCGAAACCCTCAGCCGGGGCTGCAGCTTCGGACGGCTGCCGCGGTGATCTGCTTCCTCGGGTCAAAAGTTTCAATGCCAGGTGCTCGCTGTCTCACTGGGGCCACGGGCGCCATCCTCGTCTCCTTCGGACCACACAGCAGCGTCAGGACCTCCGGACATGGGGAATCAAGAAACCGATGTTGTGGCGCGGCTCAGGTTGCTTCGCTGCAGAGTTTATCGAGATCTGTACATTAGCTGTGGACAAGCGAAAAGTAGACTTTTGTCTTCTCTGTTATCCTAAGGATAATTGCTCGCTAAAGAGTGCCTGAGAGCTCTGCTCTCAGCCAGTCTGGATCTCCCAAACGAATCGCTCGTGCAGGATAAAGGCAAGCATTCGTTTCATCTTCAGCCGGTGACTTCCCGATGGGAAGAGGCATGAACAAATGCTTGCAAAATTTTGCTGGCGCTGTATAATCACTCTTTGGGCTTCTGAAACTGCCGCAACGTCTGAAACTCATGCCAGGAAATTTCACCCCCATCGTCTTCGTCAATGAAACTGAATATGGGCCCAGATGGTCCAAAGTAGCCCACCCTATCCAGCATGGTCTCCCATTCATCTCGCTGGATTGTGCCGCCGCCGTCCTCATCCAAGGCCCTCCAGAGCCGCTTCAGGTCTCGGCCAAACTTCCGATCTGCCCAGTCCATGAACTCGCGGATGGAGAACTCCACCTCGGTCCAAAAGTCGTCCAGAGTCAGAAACTCCTCCTTGGAGACCTGGCCCTCACCGCTGGGATCCAAGAAGCGGAAGATGGCCGTCCAGCGCTGCTTCTCGTCCTTCCCCCGGAACTTCTGACACTTCAGCAGCCGCATGCCCTCCTCGAACTCCCGCAGGCCGATGACTCCGTTCCCATCCGCGCCGTCGAAGGCTTCGAAGGCCTGGTGGGTGTCCCGGAACTTCGCCCGCATCCAGAAGAGGAACTCCAGGACGTCCTCCGGCGCCTCCGCCGCAGCCGCCCACCACATGACCTGCTCCTCGGCCACGTCCACCTTCCACTTGCCGTACTGCTGGAGCAGGCTCTTCCGCAGGGCGAACTTGCGGTCCTGCGGCGAGCATTTGTAGGTGAAGTGGAAGCTGCCCTCCTTCGGCATCCGGCTGAACTGATCCCAACTCCTTGGAACGCCTTGCTCCAGCTTGTCGATGGTGCCATCAGGAAGGGTGTAGCGAAAGTTGGAGATGTTATCCCGCTTCTCCGCATTGGCCAAGTTGAAAAAGATGTTGGCGGCGAGGCGCTGGTCGTATTTGGCGAAGTCAAAGTCATTAGTTACCTGCTCGGGCTGAATATACGTGAAGAAAGTACAGTAGCCCAGTCGACTCCGAAGCTTGTCCAGCTCAGCCTGTTCTTCATAGCGGACCCGAAAGATCTTCTCATTGTGAATATCCACGATGCGGAAGAAGGTGGTGATCAGGGCTTCCTCGCGAAGCTCCGAGGTGCGGTAGACCCCCAGGATTTGCCGCATCTGCATGCTCGACAGATTGATGTGGTGCGCGATATTCCTGGTGACCTGGATTTGGGTTGGGCCGTCACATTCCGCTTGCTGCAAGATGATCAGGAACTTCTTGAAGGTGCTGTCATTCATCAACGCTCCGTGGCAATCTGGACGGTGGTTCGACACGTAGTCCAGCTCCAGGACCTCCTTTTCCGGAATCACCCACTGGTCAAAACGTTGAAGTGTGTAGGATCGACTCAGCAGCGGCTCGTGCGCGTACAAGCAGTTGCGGATGCAGGAGTAGTCCCCGTTCTCTGAGATGTCCGGCAGCTCCTTGCGCTTTGCAAGGCCTGACTCCCAGCGATCCAACAAAGCCAGAGCCTGCGCCACGTATGCAGAGGCCGTGTTGCTCAGGTCAAGCTTGTAATGACCCGAAGGACTTTGTGGATTGAAGAGCAGGTACTCCTTGCAAAGCGTCAGCATCTTGATGAACTCGCTCAAATTCTCCACACGCCGCATGACCATATTCATCGCAAACCTACCGCCGAGCAAGGTCGGAAGAAGGCGAGCCACGGTGACGCCTGCTATGGCTTTGCAGCTACACAGCTGCCGCAAGTGCGTGGCGGTGAAAATGAAGTCTCTCCCAAGCGCCGAGAGCATCGCAAGCTGCTCCTGCTCCTGGCCCTCCAATAATCTCCACTGGGCGAGAAGTGGGATCAGCTTACGGAAATGCGGCGTGAAGCGCATGACCTCATTGTACCGCGCCAAGATCTCCGAAAAGTTATCCACTGCAACTCCTTTGACTGCTTGTTCCATGGCCTTCTCAATGCTGAAGCCGACTTCCAGGTGGCCTGCTGACAGCCATTTCCCCAGCCCGAGATGTGCTTTCTTGGTCCTGAAATGCTTCGTTTCCCAGCCCCAAAAAGCCTAAAGACATGCTTCGCCCCGGAAAGAAAAAGGCTGCGGGGTCCCAAAAAAGAACACGGCAGCAAAACGCAACGCGCCATAAAACCCCAGGCCAGAAACGCACCAAACCCGCCGCAAAAGGCCCCGAGAAGCGGATCCGGAAGATGGGAAATGACGGAGGGGAAGAGGACGAGAACGGCCGGTTTTCCAGGAACGGAGCGTGGGAAGCGGAGAAAAAACACCACGAAAGACTGGGGCAACACTGCGTAAAGATGACGGAAAGACTGCGTGAATATAATGGAACACTGAAGAAGGTGCGTGAAACGAACTCGCACAACCGCACGGCCCATGATTGCATGCAATATGTTTGCAGAACATTCACACCGCATTCCTGAGGAGGTGCGTGAAACGAAACCCTCACAAAACCGCGCAGCCCATGACTGTGTGCAAATGTTTGTGGCACATCCACGCAGCATTGCTGAGGTGCGTGAAACGAAACCCTCCCACCTCCCTCCTCTTTGTGGCTAAGAAATTCGGTTTGGTAGGGTCCCAGCCTGATGATGGCACTGGCCATACTCCAGCATCTGGTTGCGACGCAAGCGTGAAGTGCCCAGAGTCATAAGAGATGACGTGAAAGGTATCAACAGGATTTAGCTTCAAGTGCTGGCCCACCTTGTAGAGGGTGCGCAGCAATGAGCGATGATATGGCCTGGTCAAGTCCAAGCTGTAGTGGCCACCAGGGTTTGTGTAAGTGAAGACCTGGATGCCTTCGACAGAAGGCCTCAACTCGCCAGAAAAGCAGTTCTCCATGTCGATGGCGACCAGCCCAGAGTCTTGCCGCGCCAGCAGCCGCAACAAGCACCGCAGGCCCATGACCCCCAGGGGGTTATGAGACACGTTCAGCGTCGAAAGCCGCCTGCTCCGTTCCAAGGCATCTTCTATCACAAGCGCCCCCCGGAAGTCTATCCGATTCATGGAGATGTCCAGGTTGGTCAGAGACACCCCGTGGACGAGTTGCTCTAGGAAGTACACACAGGGGGAGATGCTGCTGTTCTTCTGGCTGCTGGCTGCGCAATTTGCCAGGCCCAACTGCCGCAGGTTCTTGTTACGCGACACGAGCTCACCTAGAAACTTGAGCTCCTCCGCCAGCAAGCAATTCCAGCCAAAGTCGAGCACCTGGATGCGGCCGCTGAGGATTCGTCGCAGGCAGTTCCTCACATCCATGGCCCCTCCAAGCCCGGCATTACAAAGTCTCAGCGTCTGCAGTGCTGGATGCTTCTCAACTGCTTGGCAGAAAGGGCCCAAGTGGCGCATGGCCAACGAAACTCCGCTCAAATCCAAAAAGTGAAGTCTTGACGCTCCGCCCTCTTGAAGCAGCCTGACCAGTGCTGCTTGCGATTGACGGGCTGCGTGAACGCACTCGCTGAGGCTCAGCCTCTGCAAGGTGCCAAGGTTCTGCGGTGCGAGCAGCACATCCTGCAAGAAGGTGCCCATCGCAACATCCGACAGCAGCTTGCCGCCTGACAAGTCCACGTCCTCCACTTCTGTCAGGCGTCCAACCGCACAAAGGGTCAAGAGGTCTGAATCAACCACTGCCTTGCCCGCTGCATCCACCTTCCTGGAGTGCCCCGTGACAAAGGTTGATGGCACTGGCACCACCTGCTCCCTTTGGCAAGCATGGATGTATTGCCTGGAAGCCGCGGCCACTTCCTGACGGCCCAGCTGCTCATGGACTGGCACCACAACCTCGATCGGCGGGAGCAAGGCAGCGGACCTCCTGGGCTCTGCGCCTGGACTGTCTATGGGGCAGGGCCCCAGATGAAAAATGGGACAATGGCTTCCAAAGGATGTGGGCGGCATGGGCGGTTCCTTCACATGCCCAAGGAGATTGCGCCGAGAATGCCTCTTGGAGGCAACTTCTTCCCTCTGGATGTAGTCTCTATGCTCTTCCAAGCCGGACTGAAACCACCACATCTTGCTATCCCCTCGCTTTGAATTCGGGGGCGTGAACCGACACCGGTCCTGGTCTGCTGCGGCTGCCTTTTGGAGACGAGGTCCAATGGAGGGCAACAAGCCTGATGCATGATTCGCCGCGCCAAACTTGTGAGCTCGCTTCAGATCAGGAGCTGACTTCGAAATTCCGGCCCCTCGTTGGGGCAGCTTGCTCACTTCCAGACGATTCCTGGCCTTGCCAGACAAGGTCGCATTCTTCCCGCCGTCCTGTCTGTGTATCTCCACTTCTTCGATGCTCGAGTTACCTCTGCTTCGTGGTTGTACCCAGCCAGCGCCATTGAGTGCCGGGAGATACAGCTCCGTCTTGGCAGGTGTGACTGGCCGGGGTTCACCTTTCCGCGTGCCTCGATGGAAGGTATGCCAAAATCCTTGCCGACGCACTGACTCATCGCTGTCATCATCTTCTCGCTTGGCTGCCATGGCTTGCCGCAGGGCGTCGGACTTTGCCTTATGCAACTCCAGGATGTGCTCCTCCAGCTCGGCCTGCACACAGGACTCCATCTGGTGCTGCATGTGGATGCGCCGCACGATTTGCTGCAGCACGTCTGGAGGAGTGGCCCAACTCGGATGCTGGAGCTTCTTCCAGAAGTTGGTCAACAGGTTCAGCAAGTTCCATTCAAGCCTCTCAAAGTTGATGAGCGCCTTGGCATCCTTGTAGCTCTGGAGCATCTTGATGCCCGCCTCGCTCTGCGAGGCGCGTCTGGCCATGCGCTGCCTGGACCTGGCATCCCCCAGTAGCATCACCAGCAAAGGGTGCCGGCTCTTGGTCTTGCGCGACACGAAGTCGATGAAGAAGCCGTTGGCTCCCTGGAAGCCGGCCTCCATCCTTCTGGGCTCGAGGTCTTCCTCCCCGCTGGTCTCAAAATCCTCCGAGTCAGAGCCAGAATCCATGGCTGGGACATGAAGTACCCCTTAGGGGTGTCAAGCTTCCCTTGAGCCAACTGGCATTTCTCTCAAAGCATGCAGAATCTGAGTGCACTTGGTATGCTTCATCAAGCTTCTGCGCAGCTCCACAAGAGGAACGCGTCCTTCTTAGCAGCCAGCCTTGTGTTTGTCCAGTGGCACTTGCCACATTTCTCTCAAATTCGTGGACTCAAGACCCCCTGCGCTGTGCCAGTAGTGCCCACTTGACTCTTTTGCCCTACCCGCTGGCTGCCCGGGCACTGCCAGCTCCGCCGGCACGCGATGTGCGGCCCACCTTAGGCACCATAGAGATGCTCGGATCGGGCGAACCACAGTAAGTCTCAACCCACAAACATCCTCTGGAAATGTTCCAGAAAAATGACGGACCCAAATGCGGTGCAGCATTTCCAGGTACATGACACCTGCAAGACAAATCCAGGCAGTGTCCAGTCGAGATGCTTGCAACGGCAATACAAAGATTCGGAATGGCTCGTAAGAATGTGAAGAATTAGCTGAGTTCGACTTTCTACACTGCACCCGTTAAACCTCCAAAGCTTGTTTTCTGTGCTACTGAATCGTACAAGTGGTTTCCAGGCATGGCGTATTCCTTCCCTCTTTCCACTTGCCCTCTTGCGATTCACGTGCAACCCTGTCGCTTGAAAAAGAAGCCAATAAAAAAGGGGGGAAAAAAACAAAAAAGAATACAGCTGGCCCTGGCAGGAAGGCCGACTTCCAGTTGCATGCCCGAGCCACTCGGCGGATGTACTCAGTGGCATCGCGGGGCCAGTCCATGAGAACCACCTGGCAAGGGGTAAGGGTCAATTCATTCGAGAGAAACCGCTTGTGACACCCGGACGAAAGCAAACGGGGACCTGCTGATGGACAGAAAACCCGACCTACTTCCAGTTGCTGCTTGAAATCGTGAGAGGGGGAGCGAGAGAGAGAGAGAGAGAGAGAGAGAGAGAGAGCGATCTCATGGATCAACAAACTAGCCGGACGCGCCCATTTCACCTGGTGGCTCCCAAAGTCCATGCCGCGCGAGAGCCGGTCCTGTGTTTTGTCGCCCTTTTTGCCACCCAAGACATGCTTCGGCAGCCAAGTATGCGCACCCGTCTGCAGTCATATGCATTTGATCTGCAACCCTCCAAGTTCCCGCAATGGCTGGATTCAAAGTGCGAGTACAAGACTCTCGGAAAAGCTTTCTGTGACAGACTTCAATCTTGAATTTTCAATCCAGTGGTACAGCACTTTCAAGTATTTAGAAGAACTTGACAGTTTTTCGGGGTTGTCCAGGACTGACGATTCTCAGGAAAAGTTCTGTGCAAATCTTGAATCTTCAATCCAGTGGTACAATACTTTTAAGTGCTCAGCGATCCAGCGGAAAAACGTTCAAGTTCTTAGACAATCTTTCAATTGTTTTTGGTGAGCTTGTTGCTTCATGTAAGCCACGCTCATGTTGATCCTTTTCCAGGAGGTAAAAAAAGGGCAGATTTAATGCTCAAGAACTCTGTATTTGTACAGTATTGTATGCATGCATGCATGCATGCATGCATGCATGCATGTATGTATGAATGTATGTATGTATGTATGTATGTATGTATGTACACATTGACGCTGGAACACCGTCTACCAAGTTTAGTTGGGACCTTTCTTACGCTGCAAATGGGCCATAGTATAAATGACACAAAGCCTATGTCGAACTTCCTTGTAGAAGTCTTTTAAAAGTTTGGCGATATTTGATTTGCAGGAAACTTGAGAGTTAATTCCTAGTTAATCATTATTATGATCAAAAGCCAATTGAACTATGTGCGTGCTAGATTATAGTTCAGACTTACATGATATGTGGGAATATATTCTTTTAAAATTGTTTGCTCAAGATTCATTGAGTTTCACCCGGAATTATGGTTACATTGCAATTTCACACCTATTTGGACAGAATTGGTTCATTTAAATTGGAAATAAAATATGCTTTGGGAAAACTATATCCTTACTGAAGTAGAATCTACTTGGAAAGGACATCATATTGGGACGTTTTGGAGGACTCCGGGCTCCAATTCTATGAGGGCATTGGGGCCCAAAATGGGACATTTCGAAAAACATATCTAGCTTCTAGATTTATCATCCCCAAAAGGCACCAAACCTGGGTCCTTGGGGGTGGGGGGTGGCTGCATGTGTATATATACATATATGTATGTATATATATATATACATATGTATGTTTAGCCGGGTCCGAGGTCATTGAAGCAACAGGCGGCCGGT